ATGGCACTGGCCTTCCTGCTTTGCAGGTAGATCTTTCCTTTGGATTTGGTTGTTTTGGAAACTGTGCTACTGTCTCAGATGCAGGTGTTCGAAAGACTGCTGGTGATAGAGCAGGCTGAGTGAATAAGGAGTTCTAGCAGACTGTTGGCCCTCTACTTCCCTACCACCTCACTTCTGTCCTTAAGCCAAAGCCACTCATCTTGTTTGCTCAAAGACTGGGCCTGGGCCAGGTGCCGGTGGCTCACGCCTGTAATCCTAGCTACTCAGGAGGCTGAGATCTGAGGATGGTGGTTAAAAGCCAGACCAGGCAGGAAACTCTGTGAGATTCTTGACTCCAATAAACCACCAGAGAACCAGAAGTGGTGCTGTGGCTCAAGTGGTAGAGCGCTAGCCTTGAGCTGAAGAGCACAGGGACAGCGCCCACGCCCAGAGTTCAGGCCCCACCACTGACCAAAAAAAGAAGAAAAAGATTGGGCCTGGGTCATCCCTTGCCTTTTCCTGCTTCCCAAAATGGCTTTCTGAACTCTTCTGTCCCCACAGTTCCTATGGATACCTCAGTCCAAGACTTTCGGGTGCTGTATGTTTTTGTTGATATCCGGATAGACACAGCCCACCTCTTGGACTCCATCCGCCTTAACTTTCCTGCAGCTAGTGCCCTTGCTCTGGTCAGCACCATTCAGTTTGTGTCAACCTTGCAGGTAAGTGGATGAGGATTGTCTCAATATCATGTGCGGCAGACAGAGGCTCCTTTCTAGGCTGTTCCTGGGTCTCCTTGTCAGATGCCCCTGTCTGTTCCTCTGGTTCTGGTTTCCTTTCCCAGCCACTTTCTTCCCTTCCTTCATTATCCCTACAGGCAGCTGCCCAGGAGCTGAAAGCTGAGTATCGTGTGAGTGTCCCACAATGTAAGCCCCTGTCTCCTGGAGAGATCCTAGGCTGCACATCCCCCCGAATCTCCAAGGAGGTGGAGGCCATTGTGTAAGTTAAAAATGGTGGCCACTTTTGCCAGGTGCTGATGGCTCACACCTGTAATCCTACCTATTCAGGAGGCTGAGATCTGAGGGTTGCGGTTCAAACCAGCCCAGGCAGAAAAAGAAAAGTCCCTTTTTTTCTGGTCCGTCATGGGGCTTGAACTCTGGGTCTGAACGCTGTGCTGAGCTCTTCAGCTCAAGGCTAGCGCTCTACTACTTGAACCACTGTGCCACTTCCAGTTTTCTGAGTGGTTTATTGGAGATAAGAGTCTCATGGACTTTCCTGCCCGGGCTGACTTTGAACTGCAATACTCAGGTCTCAGCCTCCTGAGTATCTAGGATTACTGGCATGAGCCACTGGCGCCCTGCCTGGGCTAGTCTTAATATACAGTCCTCTCAGCCAGTTGCTCATGTCTATAAATACTAGCTACTCAGGAGGCTGAAGATCTGAGGATCATGGTTCAAAGCCAGCCCGGAATGGAAAGTCCATGAAATTCTTATCTCTAATAAACTATACAGAAAAAGCAGAAGTAGTGCTGTGGCTCAAGTGGTAAAGCACTAGCTTTGAGCACAAAGAGGCTCAGGAACTGTACCCATCTCCAATTAACCACCAGAAAACTGGAAGTGGAGCTATGGCTCAAAGTGCTATAGCGCTAGCCTTAAACAAAAGAGCTCAGGGACAGTACCCAGCCTCTGAGTTTAAGCCCCACAACTGACAAAAAAAAAAAAAGTGGCCACATTGTAGAGACATGAGAAATGTCATTATACTGTTCATTATATAGGAAAGGAAACTGAGTCTAAAGCTTCTAAGCTCTGTGTTCAAGGTCACCCTGCTAGGGAGGTACCAAATAGGAACTAGATTTCAGGTTTACTTTCTTTCCAGTGTTCTGACCACCATCCATCTGGAAGGCTGTGTTCTAGGGTGGGAACAAGAATCAGAGGGCCTGATGTTGGGGAATGAGGGTGGCTAGAAATGGTGGGAATATAATTGGAGAAGATGGATGGGCACACCCAGGCTGCAGCCCCATTAATTTAGCATCCGGACAGCTAACAAGCAGGAGCAGCGTGTCTCCTGCCGCCTAATTATTTTAGGTAATGGAAATGCTTAATGTTGTGTGAATGCAGCCAGCCTCAGAGCCGACAGCTCCCCTGGCTGGGACTGGGAGGGAGCCTGGTTCCCAGCTAATGGCAAGGAAGAAGGATGGGCCTTCTTTGATTCAGCCCTACTCCTGGACCTTTTGGTACTGGTCCCCAGTTTTGTTGCACCTGCATTAGACAGAGCCCCATATCCAGGTCTTCCCTAGTTCAGACCTGCTCCCAGAAGGTCATTTCCTGTGCACCTGTGCCTGAACTGATAGGGAGATTCAAGGTGTGTGTTGAGGGAGGGACACCCTGAGTGTTGGGCATTCCTCTCCAAAAGGGGGAGAAGCAGCTGCCTTGAGCTTTGACATCTTGAAAGATACTATTAGGGAGTCTCCTAAGGCACGCATGGTACAGTCTGATACACTGTCACATATACACTGTTTAACTGCTTAACAGCTCTGTAGCTTTAAGCCGATGTTTTAGCATCTCTGAATCAGTTATATCTTTAAAATAAGAATACTATAGGTATTATTCTTATAGGTATAGGTATATATTCTTATTCTTATAGGTATAGGTATATATTCCTATATACTATAGGAGGATTAATTAATACAACTGAGTTAATACAGGGACTTATTTCAGGACTGGAATTTAGAACAAGTTTTTTGTTCTTTTGTTTTATTTTTAAAGCAGCTGTTATAACTCAGTACTGAGGCCCAGAGCTGATTTGGGCAAATCATAGTCAATTTCCTGGAACCCACATCTGTATTGAGTCTGGTGTGGAAGAACCTGCCCCCTAACTCCCAAGTTAGGTTCTCTAGAGCCTATTGGCCTGAATTCAGTCCCCTGGGCCTCTAAGCCAGAGTTCTGCTGCTGCTGCCCACACCACACAGTCTTTTTCCACCCCTGCAGGTATCTTGGAGATGGTCGTTTCCATCTGGAGTCTGTCATGATTGCCAACCCTAATATTCCTGCTTACCGGTATGTGATGGTGACCAGTTGTGGAGGAATCAGAATCTTTTCCCCTGAAGCCTTCAATATGCTGACAGGTCCTCATTCCCTAGCCACTAAACAGCCCCTGGCTGTAATGGTCTGAGTCATTTGGGTCCTATATACGGGTATTAGATTCAATACTTCTAGATTCACACTGAGATCCTAAAACACTTCCTCTTGCCTGCTCTAGCTGTGGAATTGATCTTCCCAGTGAAAATCCCTGTTCTTGTCAGAGGCCTAATTCCCTAATTACCTGCTGGAAGCCAGTATCAGGGAACCCTGTATACAGCAGGAACCTGGAAAATGGCTGTCACTGACCTTGGCAACTTCTTTTCCAGGTATGACCCATACAGCAAAGTCCTGTCCAGGGAGCATTATGACCACCAGCGCATGCAGGCCACTCGCCAGGAAGCCATAGCTACTGCTCGCTCTGCTAAATCCTGGGGCCTTATTCTGAGTACTTTGGGCCGCCAGGGCAGTCCCAAGATCCTGGAGGTCAGAGGGCTTGGGATGGCCCAGGAGGAGGGGGCTGCCTGAAAAGCAGTTGGTAGGCCAAGGGATTTAACTTTTGGCTGCCTCCCTCTCCCAACAGCACCTAGAATCTCGGCTCCAAGCTTTAGAACTTCCCTTTGTAAGACTGCTGCTGTCCGAGATCTTCCCCAGCAAGCTCAGCCTACTCCCTGAGGTGGATGTGTAAGTTTCCTCACCTTACCTACCCAGCTTGACTTGAGGCTTCAAGTTGGGTCCTGCTCAGTACCAAGGTTGCAGTTGATAAGAATCACATACATAGTCATGAAATTTTAGTTTGACAAGCAGTTGCCCCAAGCAGGGTGTTACCTTGACAATGGGTCACATGCTTTGTCAGGCCTTGGGGGCAACATCACAGTAGTTCTGATGAAATGAATCTGAGGGTACCTGCTCTGTATACTAGGTTTTAAATGTGGTTCTGAAGATAGGGTAAAAAAATGTGCTACATGTCTTCAGAAAGTTCATAGAGGAGGAAACAGGGCAATGCAAGCAAGTGCTGTGAATAGCAGTAGGTGGCAGTTTTTACTTCAGTATTCATAAATCCCATTAGTTAATGGGCTGCTCTGGAGAGGGGCCATCAGCATCTTGTCTTACCTGTGTCTCTTCCCAGGTGGGTGCAGGTGGCATGCCCACGACTCTCCATTGACTGGGGCACAGCCTTCCCCAAGCCACTGCTGACCCCCTATGAGGTAACACGAAGTTGTGAAAATTGGTGGGGAGTGGGCTTTGTACCTCCTGTCAAGGGAAGGCTCTAAGATGGTGTAGATGGGCAGTCTGAAATCATGATCTTGAACCATTCATTCAGTCTTGGTCTTGAATCCCTCAGCTGAGCCTCTTCCTTGCTTCTACTTTCTTCAGTCTGTGCCTGACGTTTTCTTCCTGCAGTATGGGGATAATATATGTTCTTCATAGGCCGTTGTTAGGATTCAGTTCAATAATCTAGGCACAGAAGATGTTTAGTGAGTTATTGTCCAGTTTTCCTCCCCTAGGCGGCTGTGGTTCTGAGGGACATCACCTGGCAGCAACCTTATCCCATGGACTTCTACGCCGGCAGCTCCCTGGGGCCGTGGACAGTGAACCACGGGCGAGATCGAACTCCGCAGGGCCCCCGCCAAACTGCTTTGGGGAAGGTAGTTGGGGGACTTGGAGGTGAGGCAGCCCGGGGAGCTCGGCTCAGCCGCCTTCCTGGCGAAGAGAGCCAAGGCCGCCGCCCTGCGGCCGCAAGGGGAAATGCACAGGAATGGAGGTAATCGCAAAAGCCATACCCTAAGTCTGCGATCTCGGATGCCAGGAGGGGACTACACACCCGTCTCCAGTTCCGACTTGCACGGATTGCAGCTGCGGAGAGAAGGTAGCGCCGCTGGAGACCTGACAGCCTCTGAGCCCAGGTATCCGGGGCTCTGGCTCGCCCGCCCCTCCCTATTGCCTAGGGCTGTTCTCTCCCTCCCAGGCCCCGCCTTCAGCCTTGTGGCGGCGCTGTGCCCCGCCCTCGAGCATCCACTTCCGCTCGGGGAAGAGCTGCTTCCGGTGCCTGTGTGGCGCGCTGCCGTAGCATGGCCGCGCGGCGGCCTCTGCGGGTTTTGTGCCTGGCGGGCTTCCGGCAGAGCGAACGGGGCTTCCGCGAGAAGACGGGAGCGCTGAGGAAGGCGCTGCGAGGCCGCGCTGAGCTCGTGTGCCTCAGCGGCCCGCACCCCCTTATCGACGTAGCTGGGGGCCCTGAGCCCGACTCCGGTGAGACGACCTCTTCCCTCAGCACGCCTCAGGTTCCCGCCCTGCGGCCCCAGGGGCCCCTCTTCCCCGCCTGTACCCTGCCCTTGTCGCCTCTGCCCGGTCCCTCTTGCCGTGATGCCATCCTCCTTCCGTAGGGCCCTGCATTCCGGAGGAGCAGCCTCGGGGCTGGTGGTTTTCCGAGCCGGAGGCGGACGTGTTCTCGGCCCTGGACGAGCCCACGGAGTGCAGGGGCCTCGAGGAAGCCCTGACGACAGTGGCCCGGGCCCTGAGTGAGCTGGGGCCGTTCGACGGACTTCTTGGCTTCAGCCAGGGAGCTGCATTGGTAGCCCATGTGTGCGCCCTGGGCCAGGCCGGCGATCCCCGCTTCCCTTTGCCGCGGTTTATTATCCTTGTTTCCGGTTTCTGTCCCCGAGGCCTCAAGGAACCCAGCCTGCAGAGTCCCTTGTCACTGCCTTCACTTCATGTTTTCGGGGACAGTGATCGCGTCATCCCTTCTCAGGAAAGTGTGCAGCTGGCTAGCCGATTCCCTGAAGCCATCACCCTCACCCACTCTGGTGGCCATTTCATTCCAGCAGCTGCATCCCAGCGCCAGGCCTACCTCAAGTTCTTGGACCAGTTTTTAGAAAGATGAACGGCTTTGTAGCCTTGGGGCGGCCTGTATAGGACATACAGTCCTCCCTCATGTTCTCCACATCCCGAGACCTCCCTGCTGTGCTGTCAATTCTGCATTACTAGACTTGGGTTTGTTTTACTCGAATATGATGGTCTTAAGAGCCCTAGGTGAGAGGGGAAGCTGACATCACCATGACTGTCACACAATAAAGTGGTACAGGTTTTGAACATTCTTGTTATCCACAGAAAAACCCATTCTCGGCTGGTTTCCTCAGTTCTGGATCACTGAGAGTTGCAGGCTGGTCTCCCTCTGCTGTTTTCTCTGCTTTTTCCTCAAGTGGTCCAACTCCTCTGAACAATTATGTTGAATGGTGATGTGGTACCAAACCTTGTATAGAAGCTAAAGACTGCACCAGAGTAAACTTGCCTCTTGCAAACTTGACCACATCTGCAGTGTTTCTGAGAATCGATAACCAAGGACTAAGTAGTCCTAATATTTGCCCTTGGGTAGTCCTCCCACGGCACTTTAAGGACTATCTAGCTATTTTCCCTTCTACTTCGAATTTGGCTCTTCGTTTTCTAACTTTTTCCTTGCTTCTGTAAAATATAAAGGTTTACAAAAGCCTTGAACTCAGGAACTAAGCACTGTCCCTGAGCTTCTTTTGCTCAAGGCTAGCACTCTACTGCTTGCGCCATAGCACCACTTCCAGCTTTTACTGTTTATGTGGTACTGAGGAACTGAACCCAGGGCTTCATGCATGCTCTGCAAGCACTCCACCACTAAGCCACATTACCAGCCCAGCCCCCACAAAAGCTAACCAACCCTGTACTACAGTATCAGAGATCTTAATAAGCAGATCTGTACAGATACCCCACAATCCATTCTTCTGAAAATCACATATCCCTTAAGAATTTGGGTAACTCACTATAGATAGAAGCTGTCTAGGATAATAACTGGAATCATGTGCGCTGAGATTCATTTTGCTGTTTTTTGTTTGTTTTTTCCTTTTGTGGGGCTAGAACTCTGGGTGCTGTCCCTGAGCTCTTCAGCTCAAGGCACGTGCTCTACCACTTGAGCTACAGTGCCACTTCAAGTTTTCTAGTGGTTAGAGATGAGTCTCATGGACTTTCCTGCCAGGGCTGGCTTTGAACTGCAATCCTCAGATCTCAGCCTCCTTAGTAGCTAGGGTTACAGGTATGAGCCACCAGCACCCAGCAATTTTAGTAGGTTTTTAGGACTTTTAGAAAGTGTTTGTGTTGAACCAGATGGGAAGTTGGTCTTTGCCTTGCCTTTGTGTGTGTGTGTGTGCTGGTCCTGGAGCTTGAACTCATTTCCTGAGCACTGTCCTTGGCTTTTTTGCTTACGGCCAGCCCTCTACCACTTGAGCCACAGCTCCACTTCCAGCTTTTTGTGGGTAATTGGGAATAAGTCTTATAGGCTTTGCTGCCTCAGCTGGCTGGCTTTGAACTCCTGTCTTCAGATCTCAGCCTTGTGAGTAGCTAGGATTACAAGTAGGAGCCACTGGTGCCTAGCTGCCTTTGTTGTTGTTGTTGTTGTTGTTGCTCCATTGACTGGAGGAAGAGACAGACTGAATTATAGATCTGTTGGATTGGACCCAGGCCCAGAATTCAGGCCCCATGACCGGACCCCCACCCCCCCCCCAAAAAAAAAAAAAGAAAATTCCTTGCATAGGTTTTAAGCCAGGGCTTAAAAATTAAGAGTAAGGGAGGAGTGGCTAGAGCAAAGCAGAATTAGGTAAAACAGTAGTACCCAAGTTTGGGGCGAAAATTCCTCCTGAGGATCATACAATGTCCAAGTCCATAGAAGTCTGCTGCTTCCCTCCATAACTACCACCACATGCACAGTTCCTGTGGATCATTTAAATCGGGATCATCTATTATAACTGGATTACTGGAGCCAATGCTAAGCTTGCTAGAATTACCTGGGCAAACTGTCCTGGTTCCTCATTGAAGTACTACTTGACATCACTGCCTTACAGAACACACACCTCTGGTAAGGAAAAAAGTTCTTAGTATAATTCTCATGCAACCCTTAAGTGATAGGGAAGCTCCACTGAAGAAACAATGACCTAGCTGGGTGCCAGTGGCTCAAGCCTGTAATCCTAGCTACTCAGGAGGCAGAACTCTGAGGATCATGGCTCAAAACCAGCCCAGGCAGAACTCCTCTCCAAATAACTACCAGAAAACCAGAAGTGGAGCTGTGGCTCATAGTGATAGAGCACTAGCCTTAAATGGAAAAGCTCAGGGACAGCACAATTGTTTTTGTTTGCCAGTCCTGGGGTTTGAATTCAGGACTTAGACACTGTCCCTGAGCTTCTTTTGCTGAAGGCTAGCACTCTACCACCTGAGATGTGCACAGCTCCACTTCTGGCTTTTTCTGTTTATGCAATACTAAGAAATCAAACCCAGGGCTTCATGCATGCTAGGCAAGCACTCTGCCACTAAGCCACATCCCCAGCTCTTACCAACAAGATTTGACCTAATATTTTTAATATATGAGACAATTGTGATAGGCAGAAGCCTTACTGTTGCCTAACATTTCTTTTGGTACTAGGATTGAACTTTGGGCCTGTGACATGCTAAGTATGAACTCTACCATCTAGCTACATGCCCAGCCCTTTTATCACCTAATTTAATTTCACAACAATGAAATTAAACCTAATAGGCTAATTTTACAGTTGAGACAGGCAGAATAACTTATCCAGGTTGGATTCAGATCCCAGGACTCACATTCTTCCATGTTACTAGTTTTGGTTGTGTGTGTGTGTGTGTGTGTGTGTGTGTGTGTGCGCGCGCACGCGTGTGCGTGCGCACACACGTATACAGATTACGTTAAGGAACATATTAATAAATACTACCTTTAAATTCTAGGTGTTCCTTTTGAGACTGGGTCTCACGATGTTCTCCTGGCTGACCTGGAACTTCTGGGCTCAAGCCCTCCTGACCCAGTCTGCTGAGTAGCTGGAACTATCATAAGAACCACTGCACCTTGCTATAGTCATTTTCTCCGCTACACTGTGGAAAAAGAGAAGTACTTAGGTTTTGTGTCCTGTCTGGGCCTCAGTTTCCCAATTCATAAAAGGTTGAAGGAACTGGGTATTAGTGGCTCACACCTGTAATCCTAACTACTCAGGAGGCTGAGATCATAGTTCAAAGCCAGCCAAGGTAGGAAAATCCAATTAAGCACACCCCACCCCACTATCCCCCCCCAAAAAAAGCTGGAAGTGGAGCTGTGGTCAAGTGATTTTATTTATTTTTGACATTCCTGAGGCTTGAACTCAGGGCCTGGGTACTGTCTCTCTCTCTCTTTTTTTTTTTTGTCGGTTGTGGGGCTTGAACTCTAGGCCTAGGCACTGTCCCTCAGCTCTTCAGCTCAAGGCGAGCGCTCTACCACTTGAGCTACAGCACCACTTCTGCGAGCGCTCTATCACTTGAGCTACAGCGCCACTTCTGGTTTTCTGGTGGTTTGTTGGAGATAGGAGTCTCACGGTCTCTCCTGCCCGGGTTGGCTTTGAACCGCAATCCTCAGATCTCAGCCTCCTGAGTAGCTAGGATTACAGGCGTGAGCTACCAGCGCCCGGCGGTACTGTCTCTTTTTGCTTAAAGCTAGCATTCCACTATTTGAGCCACAGTACCATTTCCAGCTATGTGGTATTGAGGAATTGAACCCAGGGCTTCATGCAAGCTAGGCAAGCATTCTACCACTAAGCCATATTCCCAGCTTCAAGTGATTTTTCTTTTTCTCTTCTTTTCCTTTTTCTTTTTGGTTGGATGTGGGGCTTGAACTCTGGACCCAGGTTCTGTCCTTTAGCTCTTCAGCTCAAGGCTAGCGCTCTACCACTTGAGCCATAGTGCCACTTCTGGTTTTTTGGTGGTTTATTGGAGATAAGAGTCTCTCAGAGTTTTCTGCTGGGGCTGGGTTTGAACTGCAATCCTTAGATCTCAGCCTCCTGAGTAGCTAGGATTACAGGCATGAGCCACTGGTGCCTGGCTCAAATGATTTTTTTGAGAGAAAAAAAAGCTGATGGACAGCTCCCAAGCCCTGAATTCCTGAATTCAAGCCCCAAGACTGGCATGCACATGACAGAAAAAAAGATGTTGGGGAAGAACTTGATTTCTAAGTTACAAAACAAGTCTAACATTCAGTCAGACCTCTGGTTCTTCCCTTCTGTTTGTTTTGTTTTTGGTTGTGGGGCCTGAACTCTGGGCCTCAGCGCTGTCCCTCAGCTCTTCAGCTCAAGGCTAGCACTCTACCACTATGAGCCACAATGCCACTTCTGGCTTTTTTCTTTTTTCTTATGGGGTGCTGAGGAATCGAACCCAGGGTGTCAGGCATGCAAGGCAAGCACTGTACCACTGAGCCACCTTCCCAGCCCCATGGTTCTTCCCTTCTGGATGAGTTCAAACTACAAAGACTTGGCCTCTTCAGAAAATTCTTACCATTTCGCCTCTGCATCTTCGATTCCTAAAGTTCTAGGCAGAGTTTCTCAGGAAATAACCATATAACAGAGCCCTAGTCTCAGAACTTTGCCCAAGTGTCCAGAGCAAAGGTCTTCTAACACCTCCAATATGTAGTACCCTAATGGAATATGGCTACCCAATGGAAATGTTCCTTCCTGCTTACAAAGTTTTGCACTTGCCATTTATCCTCACAGTGTATCTGCCAAGAAAAATTATAGAAGGGTCAGTCAGACATGGCAGCTGGTTTGGTGATGCAGGTCTGTAATCCTAGCTACTCAGGATCAAACTGGATTCTGAGTTTGAGGCTACATGACCAGTTATCCCCTCTCAAAAAGGGGACTGGGGTGTGGCTCAAGTGCTAGTATGCCTAACAAGAGTTACAGTCCTAGGTTCAAGTCCCAGTAGAGAATGGGGATGTGGAGGGTGTGTGTGTGAAGAAAAGATGGACACAACCACTTGTTAAGACAGTTGAACCTCCTGTTTCTTAGTATACTGCTCCCCTCAGACAGTACAATTGGCTTAGAGATGTCCCCCTGAATTCAGAATAAAATGCATTTTAGTGCAAGACTTTAGGATCCTAGGCAGGGGATAGGGCAATAGGGTGTTGATTTGCTGGGAGGACACCAGCACCAGCTGTCTTAGAAATAACTTTGAGAAGGATGGAGTGGCCAGGCGCCGATGGCTCACGCCTGTAATCCTAGCTACTCAGGAGGCTGAGATCTGATGATCTCGGTTCAAAGCCAGCCCGGGTAGGAAAGTCTGTGAGACTCTTATCTCCAATAAATCACTAGAAAACCGGAAGTGGTGCTGTGGCTCAAGCGGTAGAGCGCTGGCCTTGAGCTGAAGAGTGCAGGGACAGTGCCCAAGCCCCCCCCCCCAAAAAAAAGGATGGAGTGTATGGAGACAAAAGTTGGATTAATGGGTGGTGGGTTGTCTTAACGCTATCCTTTAAGCTCTGCA